GGGGGGGTAGCGGTGTGGCCTCCCGGCCAGCCATGTGCATCCGGCCGCGGAGTGTGGAGGTATTTCCGCCGGCGGGGCCGTCGCCACCCGTCCTGGGGAGCTTTCTCTTTTGTTGTCTTGTAGTTTTTGCTCTAATTCTCTTGACTTCAATCATTCACAATGGGTCGCATGTACACTCCCGGGTATGTTCAGGCTCTCTCTCTCTCTCTCTCCCCCCCTCCCCCATTGCCTCCTTTCTATGTCCACCTACGCGACCCCCCCCCACCACCTCCCCTACTCTCCCCTCCCTCTCCTGCCACCACGATGTGGTCTCCAAAAACCCAACCCCGCAGAATGTCTGCGTGTAAGGTGTGGGCGCCTCCCCCTCGTAGGGGAGGGCGTCCCGTCGGCGAGCGCGTCTTTCTCTTTCTCTCTCGTTCTGCCTCTTCACCATTGAGGAGGAGTCCGAGGGGGCGCGTCTGTCGATGGGCCGTGCATTTCCGCCTCACCAAGCAACAGTGCCCCCTGAGGCCGAGCGGCTCGCCCTCTCTCTCTCCCCCCCCCTTTTGGCCGGTGATACGGCTCCCCCCCCCCAAAAGAGAGAGAGAGGGCCCTTGCTCGATGGGCTGCGTCACTTTGCGCGTGAGCCTTCCCCCTCCTCCCGATGTCCCCCCTTCCCCTCTGGGTGCCTGGGTGCGCTCCGCCTTCTTCCCCCCTGCTCGGGGAGGAGGCGGGGCTGTCTCTCCTCAGGCACACAACAGCGGCAAGGGTGGGGCCCGGGGCCGGAGCGCGGCGGAAGGTGACCGCGTGGGTGTTTCGCGGATCCACCTCAGTTCTGGGGCCAGTTGTCTGTTTACACTCATTCCTTCCTGCCGGTCCTTGTGGTGCTTGGCCAGACTGTCTCTCTCCGGTGTCATGGGGAAGGGGGGGGGGCTCGGGGGCGCGCGGCTATCAGCTCGTGTGTGTGTGTGTGTGTGGAAGGTCTTCCTCTTCGCTGGCAGCTCCACACCTCGCGTGTGCGCGTGCAGGTGTCCTCTTGCCGCGACCAAGCAGCGGCTGTGCCCCCCCCCTATTCCCCCTTGATCCTGTGTGCTCGCCCTGTTGCATCGTATGTCGCGGCGCCCCGCGGCTGCTCCCAGGTCTCTTTTGTTCCTGGAGCGGCGGGGGGCTCCTTCTTCTCGCACGACTTGCACTGGGGGCCGGAGTCCACTCGGTCGTTGGGGGAGGGGGCGTAGTGTGGTGCATGCCGGTGTTTGTGTGTGGCCATGCTTGCGCGCATGGGGCAGCCGGTCAAGCCGACTCCTCCTAGCACACACGCCCGCGTGCGCGCGCTTGCGTGCTCTCCCTCCTCCTCCCTCCGTCGCCGCGCGCGCGCGCGCGCCACCCAGGAGTGCCCCCATATGCTGACTGTGTTCCTCCCCCCCCCCCTCTCTCTCTCTCTCTGCTCCCCCCCGTCCTTCGCAGTAAGGGCAAGGCTCGCTCCTCCCTCCCCTACAGCCGCGCCGCCCCCTCTTGGGTCCCGGTCTCCTCCGACAAGGTTGTCGAGCTGATCTGCCACCACGCCCGCCGTGGTATGCCCCCTTCCCAGATTGGCTCCCTCCTGCGTGATGCCCACGGTGTCCCCAAGATCCAGTCCATCACCGGTAACAAGATCGTCCGTATCCTGAAGGCCAACGGCCTCGCCCCCGAGATCCCTGAGGACCTGTACCAGCTCGTCAAGAAGGCCGTCTCCATCCGCAAGCACCTCGAGCGCTTCCGCAAGGACAAGGATGCCAAGTTCCGCCTGATTCTCGTCGAGTCCCGCATCCACCGCCTGGCCCGCTACTACCGCACCGCCGGCACCATCCCCCCCAACTGGAAGTACGAGTCCTCCACCGCTTCCGCCATGGTTGCCTAAGCGCGCGCGCGCCCACTCCATCGCGTGTGTGCGTGTGCTTCCCCCCCCCATCTCGCGCCCCCTCCCTCGGGCGGCCCCGGCCGCGCCTGTGCATGCGCGCCTCTCCTCTCCTCTTCGCGCCCCCTGACGGCGCGGCGAGGGGAGAGAGGTGTGACTGGCGGTCGCCGTCCGAGGGGCTCGGGCGAGGCCTCGTCTCTCTCTCTCTCTCTCTTGTCCCCCGCCCTCAGATAGCGAGAGAGACAAGAAGAGGCCGCTCGAGCGCGCGCGCGCACGGGAAAGCGAAGCACAAGCAGGCCGCGAGAGGCTGTACATTCTCTCGCTGCCAATATACATGTTTACCCTTCCTCCCTTCCCTCTCCTCCAGGGGAGGGATGGGGCCAGGGGGATGTATTCACCATTCTGCTGTTTTTTCTCTGTGCCGGTGGGGGGTATGCGCATATACAAGAGAGGCCGTCCCTGGGGTCTTCGGGGTCTCTGGGAAAGGGGAGGGGGGTTGTGCGGTCAAAATGCCTGTGGGTACCTAAGGCCGCGTGCTGAGGGCCGCGCACCCCTCCCCAGGGGTTCGAGGTATGCACCGAGCGCGTGGACCAACACCGGGAGTAAGCCTCCCGGCTGGCGGCTGCTCACGCACATGGCGCGCCTCGGTGTGCGGGCCCCTCTGACAAAGATGATACAGACAATGGACGGACTCCCTGTCGGAGGAGATTCTCCCCCGCCGTTCGCGTTGTGCCCTGTCTCGCGGGGGCGGTTGCTCTCTCACATTCGCCCCTCCCCCCCCCGGGCCCCGACACACGCGGCCCCGTGGAGAGGTACAGGGTTAGGTTTGAGGAATATCGGCGCGGGTGCAGGCCCAAGTATCAGAATGTCCCGAATAATCACGCGCAAAGAGGGCTGACACCGGTACTCCAGAACGGCCATCTGGATACCGCAGAGCGATCTGCCCCCGCCAGGGGGGTGGCACGGGCTCGCCAGCTGGGACGTCTGTGCCGGCCTTCCTCGGGGACGCATGCCGTTCGTAAGGCCCCCGGCGAAGGGACAGAGAGAGACACACAGAGCGGAGCGTGGCGCGGCACCGAAGCACATCGAGCAGCACACAGGATCTCAAGGGAGGGGTGTTGGTGTATTGCCTTGGGGTAGGGCGCACGCCGGCTGCGCACGCATGCGCGTGTCAATAGACAGCGCCATCTGTGGCACACATCCATACAAGGGGCAGTTACGGTCGTCAGCAGAGGATCGTTCGGTGAGTGTCCAGTCGGGCATGCCCCTTCCGGGGAAGCAGAGGCAGCATGTCCCCGTGTCTTGCCCGCGGGCAGCAACGCACCATCACCGCCGTCATTGTAGTCATCAAAGTCGTCGGCACCATCCTCAAAGTCTCCGTAGTCCTCGACATAGTCGTTGTCTTCGTCATCGTCATCCTCCTCCTCTTCAACAATCGGGTCGCCATTCTCGTCGACTTCCTCCTCTTCGGAGCCGACGTCCAAGTCTAGGGAGGCCGGGGGAAGGGTGGCTGGCGCGTGAGTGGTCGGCGGCCAAGGGGTCCTGCGTGCGTGCGTGCGTGCGTGCGCGTGCGTGCGCGTGCATGCGCGTATGTGCCAAAGCGTACCGTCCAGATTGGCACCGCTGCGCTCCATCTCGGTCAGCTCGCCGAGGCGAGCCATCTGCTCCTGCTGACGCGCGGCAATCCGAGCGCGGATGAGGGCTGCCCGCTCGGCCTGAGCGCGTGCCCGGTGGGCGCCGCGTGCGTGCGCGATGCGCAGCTCCTCCGGCAGGGTCCACGGCGCGGTGCGAATCGAATGCAGCCGATCATATGCGGCCGACGGGTCCAGCTCGAAACGGTCCAGGTACATCTCGATCTTGCGCTCGGGTGGTAGCTCGGACGTCTGTGAGGCAAAAGAAAAGCCGGACCCCTGGGCCGATTTGGCGGATCGCTCGGCCGCCACCTCGGCCGTCAGCGAGGACAGGTGGTACGGCGAGTAGCGCATGTTAATGCGGATAAACTGCGCATGACGCAGGATGCCCGGCAGGGGGACGCCGGCCCCGGTGTCCGACAAGCACTCCGGGTCCTGGGGCAGGGGCATGTTCGGCATCGGCTGTGTGGCGCCGGTGTCAGCCGTGATGGCGGTGGGTGGGTGGCCGCACTGTCAGCAGGGCGCCGGCAGGGCAGGAGCGGGGGCTGGGGCCGGGGAGGGCACGGGACAGCGAGCACGCACAGGAAAGGCCAACGGGGGGGGCTCAACGACGGTGGCCTTCCGTGGCACGTAGGCATTCTTCTTCGGGGGCATTGTGAGTGGCGATAGCGCGGTCGCCTGCGGGCATCCGACGGGGCTGGGCCTGGGAGTAAAGGAGGGAGAAAAGGCGGAAAGGGGAGAGGGGGAAGAGGGCAAGCGGAGAAGGGGGGGGGGGGATGTTTGGGGCCACACTGGCGGCTCGTGCTTGGGGATCTAGGTCTCTTGGCAGGCCGGTGGCCGTCTTTGAGTCTTAGCCTACTGCACATTGGTGAAGGGACGTGGCCCCCGCGCCCCACCCCACAGGAGTGAGGCTGCAACGACGAGCCATGGAGATCCCGGAGCGGCGGGCGGCCTCTTCCTCCGTTGGTACATCGGATGCCAATGGACGTGTTCGGTGTGTCCGCCGCCCGGGGCAGGCGTGTGACGTCCCAGGCCTGAGCAAGATGCACATGGCCCAAGTGAGGAAGGAGCCCCCACCGGTCGGCTGGACCCTTCGGTGCACGCGTGTGTATGTCTCTCTCTCTCTCTCTCTCTCTCTCTCTCTCTCTCTCTCTCTCTCTCTCTCTCTCTCTCGCTCTGGCACTCTTGGTGTCTCCGTCATTGCCTGTTTGGCCCTCTCGCTGTGTGTGTATGTTAGTGAGCCTTTGTGCGAAGATGCACACGCCAGGAGGAGGAGGCGCCCCAGTGTTCGGGATCAAATGCTGAATTTATTGTGACCTACGACCCTCCAGCCGCGACTTGCGATCAGCGTCGCGCCATCTCCCGAAGAGGATGCAGGCAAGGGAGGCTGGCGCCGAGACAGCACGGCTCAGAACTCCTCCCCTCCCCTCCCGTCATCTCCTCCTCCCCCCCCCCCCCCTGCCCCCTTTCTTTCGGCATGTCTTCCACTGGCTCCCTGCCCGGCACGACCCCCGGCGATATTCGTGTGGTCGACGTCACTCCGATCTCCCCTGAGAGCGCCAACGCCATCCTGCACAAGTACGCCAACATCGCCTCCCTCCTCTGGCGATAGTTGCAGTCGACAGTCCTCCCCACCTCCCTATTCGCCATGCGGCCTCGTGCGGCACTTGCATGCTCCTTTCCCCTTCTTTCCTCACCCGGTCCATGTTTTGCCCCCTTCCTCCCCCCTGGGAGCGCCCCGCACCCTCGCCTCCTTGAGTCTCGCCTGCCTGACCTCCTCCCCCCTCCCCCCCCCCCCCCCCCCCCCCCCCCCCGCCCTGCCTGCCCGCCCGGGCCTCTGTGCAACCCGGATCTCGGTGCTCAGGTTCCTGTCCCATGATGCCCCTCTGCGCAATGTCCCGCAGGACATCCGTTC